ACACTATATCTAGAAGGATCACGAGATTTCTAGAAAGAGGTGGCGTGATACTAGTCACGTGACCTCACTGACGCAACAGTATTATGTTGCAAGTTGAAATTCTAAATGAGCTTTAAATACATGTATGGAAAATTACTTTATGATCAAGCAGAGTAGTGAGGTGTTAGTGAAATAGGTTCAGACATTTAGCAGTGAGGTGTTAGTGAAATAGGTTCAGACATTTAGTAGTGAGGTGTTAGTGAAATAGGTTCAGACATTTAGTAGTTAGGTATTACTGAAATAGGTTTGGGTATTTAGTAGTTAGGTATTACTGAAATAGGTTCAGACATTTAGTAGTTAGGTATTAACTGAAATAGGTTCAGACATTTATTAGTTATGTATTACTGAAATAGGTTCGGGTATTTATTAGTTAGGTATTAATGAAATAGGTTTGGGTATTTAGTAGTTAGGTATTACTGAAATAGGTTCAGATATTTAGTAGTTAGGTATCACTGCAATAGGTTTGAGTATTTGGTAGTTAGCTATTACTGAAATAGGTTTGGGTATTCAGTAGTTAGGTATTACTCAGTGGTAAATTGTTTAACTTTATCCTCTTGTAATTTTTATTTTTTTTTCTATTGTATAGATGTAGTGTAAAATTCACTGTTCTGTTAAGTCTTGCCATTTTTGTATTAACAGATCATCTGTATAAGTCTTGCCATTTTTGTATTAACAGATCATCTTTATAAGAGTTGCCATTTTTGTATTAACAGATCATCTGTATAAGTCTTGCCGTTTTTGTGTTAACAGATCATCTGTAGACAGATGCATTACTTTGTCAGAAAGTAATGACTTAATTTTTATATTTTGCAGGAATACTCTTATGGATATAATATAAGGAATATGAGCCATATGTTTATATGATTTAAACAAAACATCCTCTAAAATCCCTTTGATTTTGGGAGAAAAAATCCAGTATTTCCTTACTTTTTTGGAATATAGATGGACTGAAATGCCTGCATCAAGGAAAATATAGATTTATTGTAAGAAATCAAGCTAAAATATTAAATTGAATTTAAATGTTGTTAGACGATATTCTTATTTTTCTTTTTTTATAATCAGGGTATTAAGAAGCCCTTTTCTGAAGTAATAAAAGGAAACATAGGAGACTGCCAAGCTATGGGGCAGAAGCCTATCACATTTATACGACAGGTAAGTGTGTGTGTGTTTTTACAGTGTAAATACATTCATTGCAATTATTAATAACTTCATGAAAATATATAGTTTGTGTGTACATGTATGTGAGTATCTATCTTTGTATATAAATGTAATTATTTTTGTTAATCTAGCATGTTTAAGTCAATTAAATATAACTGGAAGCTATTACAGCCACTCTTGAATCAATAGTTAAAATATTTAATTGTTTAGATGACCACTGTTCTTTAGCTTATAAGTATTTCTGAGTAGTAGTAATTTTTTGAACTGTGATTTGCTGTGAATTTTGCATCTAACCATAGGGGAGTTTGCAGATATATTTATAGCTACAGAAGGTTTTTATCATTAAACATTCAGGAAATTGTTCATACAATACAGTTACTGATACAGGAGGTTTTTATCATTAAACATTCAGGAAATTGTTCATACAATACAGTTACTGATACAGGAGGTTTTTATCATTAAACATTCAGGAAATT